CAGCTTGCACTTTTGACGGTTTTTCTTGCTTCCGTGGCCACAAGGTTTTTAACACAATGCAACACGTTACAGTTGACAGTCAACTAGCAACGTGACATGGGGCGCAGTGCTGGGAGTCAGGTGTCAGACGTCCTGTGCCTTCGCCTTCTTCCATTTCATACGTTGTCGTACAGTAGTAACGTCAAGGTCCTGCAGTTTGGGTAGGGATTAGAGCTACCTCTCGACTAGTCTGAACTCTGCAGGGGTAAGTCTGCGTGGGAATGTCACAGGGAAAGCTCAAAACTTGGTGTTTCTTAATGATCCAAGACCCTCAAATGTCCCCAAATACCCTGTTTCAGTGTGTCCTCCTCGGTCAGTAAACCAGCTGTCAAGTATCACCCGGGTGATATTTCTTCAGGGCAAGCACGTGGAATAGATCTTACCAAGGGGGTAAGGTAACGATGCACCAGAAAGGACCGTTTCATCTGCAGCTTAAACAGGGAAGACAGTCGTCTCGGTTATAGTGCCACTGGGCAGAGGGGGAGGGAGTGGTGATGGTAGCGTGCATTGAATTGGTAGGGTATAATGAAGGAAGTAGGATGTTTGAATGTGGACCAAATAAAGGGGATCCATGGAAGTGGAAAAGCTGAGACAATAGAACGGGTAAATGTCAGGAAGTTCAGTTTGTCTAATCTCACAACCCAGAGAAGTGTCACATAAAAAAACCCCCAAGCCATTGGAGAGACATCTGTGTCAAGCTGGACTTTCTAAATGCATAGTCTAGCCATGCCGATGTCAGTGGAGCTCTACTGTACCTGATAACAGCGAAGAACCATTTCTGTCCTGTTAGATCCTACTCCAGTTACTCCTAGGATATGATGTATAATAAAGATGAAAACTACATACATATGTACAGGCTACATTGTAAACAGCACAAAAATAGCTGAAAAGTGTGGTTGAACTTTTTAAGAGAATATTATAAATACTGTAATATATCACTTTATTTTATCAGCATGCCTTTTTGTAAATACAAAGAATTACAAAAATTAAATAGAATGGCTTCTGGCTTATGCCATTGTCCATGTTTATTTTTATTTTTTTAATATTTTTCCTTTTTTCCTTAGATTTTAGATGTTGTCAGCCAATGTACATCCCACAAAAACAAAACGGACCCCACCCCCAAACAGACAAAGCTTTATTGCAAATTATCTTTACAACGACAAAAATAGATCTATTTTTGGTTTCCAATGTGCAATAAGTTCTGACCACTTCTATGCAAGATTTGGCTAAACTTCATAATTGTTCTGAAGCTGGGCTACCGGTCCGTATGTGAAGCTCGGTGCATCTAATGCTCACGCTGGCACTTTCATTAAGCCACTAGAATAATTGGAAGTTAACCTTCCCTACAAGCTATAGATATTTTTAAATATTGGGTCTTTAATACAAACAAAGGCCAGCGGTATCACTCAACAATCAGGCTTGCTGAAAAGAGATGAAGGAATGGTTTTCCCAACTGTTGACTGGCAGAGGACTCGGCTCTCCTGCTCAAGGGAAAGTTTCACAGTTTCTTTGTTTCTGTTTTTTGTCATTTCCGTTCTGTGGCAGATACATCCCTCAGGCAGAGGTCACCGGTGCTGAGAAAATGGGTCTGCATTTTTGTTCTTCTTCACCGGGTGAAGTTGAGGAAAGGAAGGAAGGAAGCTTTGGTTGAAAATAAGACTTGAGTTTAATATGCAGTCACGGAATAGAAATGCACGCACGACAGCCATTATTATGTTTTGTAGCAATGGCCTCAATTCAGAGACGTGGGATGAGGTGGAAAAAACGACGTCGGGTTCAGAGTTGTGAGAACAAATTAAGTGTGCCGTTGCCAAGTTAAAGCGCATTGCCAAAAGGTTTTGTCTGGAATAAGTGCCTCCCCGCCCCCCCCCAACGTGCTATAAAACCTTCTCTCCTTACTTTATTACCTTGCTTCTAGAAGAGCAGAGAGGGGGAAGGGATAAAAGCATGCCAGGCCAAGCGGCTTTGCTCGCGTTTCCTGTTCACGGTTTTCTATTAAAGACAGATGCTGATGTGAACAAACCTAAATAAATAAACCCAGGAACTGACACAGCAGAGGCAACACCCGAGTGGGTTTTGGTTTTTTGAATGATTCGGTTTTCACTCCGCAACAAATGTTCAAGCTCTGAAAGGGCAGTGGTGAAGATGAGCAGACTAGAGATGGCACGGTGGCTCCTAACCATTTTACCCAAACACGGGTAAGCTGTTCACTGCTATGCACCAAAAGGAAATAAAATAAACGTCGCCCTTATTGCCGCACCAGGGGAGGTGGCCTTGGTGCTCCAGTTACTTGTCTGACTGGTGGTTTTCCTTTACCCCCCTCCCAAATTCCTTCTTCCGTGGTTTTGATTCTTGGTTGTTTGTTCAAAGTACGGATCAGAGAGACCAGTCAGACTTGGCCAGGGGAGGATGCAGGGGAAGGGTTTGGCAGTGGTTTTGGTTTTGCTTTGATGCGTTTAAGAGGCTTGTGGCGCTTTGCTGGTATCTAGCAGACAGGTCTCTACAGCTCTGGAACCACTGCGCGTGGAGCGCCCCTGCAAAGGCCGCTGCTGCGATTGCAGCGCTGCTCCCTGAGGGCGGTTTGGTGGCCTTTGTGAGGCCAAGTGGTAGGACTTGGGAAAAGCCTAGGGAGGCAGCACAGAAACCGCCATCAGCATGGGTCCCGCTGGTTGGCATGCTCGGCAGACCCCAACAGTGGAGAGCCAGGCAGCCTGGACTTCTCTCCCACGTGGACATGGGTAGGGGCCCTCGTGGCTGCCGACCTTGCCATGTTGCCATGCTGGGGACTTCAGGCTGCGTTGCCTGCCACCCAACCCCTCTGTCTGCACTGGAGACTACCCTGTACAGTCCTGAGCCAGCTCTTCTGGTCCCCTGTCCTTGGGGTGCAACGTTCCCCCCCTGCTGCAGGGCCCAGACTAAGGTGGCTTTCGCACAGGTGGCTCAAGAGGAGCAGCTAGCACTGCACTAGCTGTGCCGGGGACAAGGTGCCTTCTGTGGTCTTTTGCCATCCCGTTCTTTTTCTGCCTTGGGCATGGGTCGTGTGGGGCCCATGCTGCTGTAACACAACTTGGGCAGCTGGGACTGCAGCAGCTGCAGGGCTGGAACAGGCATGCTCCCGGCTCTGCCAAGTACTGGAGAGCCTCTTTGCATTGGAGCTGGGGCAGAGCCTGTGGGGCACAGCTGGCTCTTCTGGACCTTGGTAAAGGCAGTGGTAGGCACACATGTCTCGCCACCAGCCCAGGGCTCAGAGCAGCCTGTGACACTTCATTTTGCTTTCCTGGAAGGGCTGGGTGGTGCATCAAGGTCGCGCTAGCTGTCCCCAGCAGCCTGCGTCGAGTCCAAGCGTTTGCCAGGCCCATGGCCGAGGGGTTCTCTTAAGGTTGTTTTTCCAAGTAGTGATTTTGCCCAAACAGCAAAAATTAGTACCCAGCAAAGCCGCCTTTCTTGCCATTCATTGGTCTCTGCTCAGAGCCCGGCGCACGGCAAGCACTGCCAGCCACGAGCGCGAGAACAACGTGGTGGGATGGGCAGGCCCTGGCGGCGTGGCTCCGCCTCGGTCAGTCGCTCTGTTGCTCCCGGAGCAGAACGTTTTCAAAGAAGTTAAAGGCAAGAGCAAAATATTTCCTATTTCCCCTTTGCAAGTTTGCTGCGTGTTGCGATTTTATAGAGCGCGGTGTGAATGTGCGTGCGCATGGGACGTGTCTTCTGAGCGGGTGAGCTGAGGAGTGCTGTCCAGGGGCTAGAGCGGGAGATTGGGAGTCGGGGCTCGCGGGTTCTTCTTCCAGCTCTACCGTGGACGTGTTGCGTGACCTTGGGCAAGTCACTTTACCCTCTCTGTGCCTCAGTTCTGCCCATCTGTAAAATGGGTGTCTAATTACCTACCTCACAGGGGTGTTGTGAGGCTTAATTAGTTAATGTTTGTGAAGTGCTTTGAGGTTCACAGCTGAAAGTGCTTTCCAGTGCACAGTGGAATCATGGACTAAGTGGAGGGGAAAAGGTGATGGTACCATAAATGCTGCTAACCGAGAGTCATTTTTGAACTGCACTGCTCCAGTCAACCCAGCTTCTCCACAGCCATCGGGGCAAAGCTTTTCCTTTCTCTCCACATCGCTCGCGTGACTCGTTCTGGATTCTGTCTTGGTTTTCTCCATGCTGTATTTGCTCCCCCCCGGCACCTCCTAGGTTTTGCTTCCTGTTCTGTTTTTCCATGAAGGAAAGAGGAGGAAATAATTGGATTTGGGGGAGGGGGGGGGGCAAAAGAATGTAAACACACAAGTGGGCTGGAAGTTCGATGTCTGAACTTTGATTTCCTTTGTACTGTACATCTTTTTACTTTGGGATTTGCAATAAAAGGTTCGTCCATCTTGTTTTACCTCTTCTCTCCGGTGGGCTGTCTTTGTCGGCTTTGTAACCCCCCAAGCCCTTGCCCCCACCCCAAGTCCCTGGGCAACATCGCTCCATTATGGGGGTGGGGGAGGAAGGGGCTGGTGCCTGGGCAATGCCACTCCATTATGAGGGGGCAGGGTTGGTGCCCTGGTAAAGCTATGCCGTCGGGGATGGGAAAGCAGTCCCAGGGTAATGCCTCTCCATCATGGGGGGGGTGGCTGATCCCCACACAATACTGCTCCACTATGGAGGGGCAGGGTCAGTGCCTGGGCAGTGCTATGCCACGAGGGACCGGCGGGGGGGAACCCAGCAAATGTCCATGTACACGGCTGCATCAGCAGCCCAACATGGATCTGCACCCCATGCTCTTCCCCCCAGCACCCCCAGCTTCTTAAACCCCCACTCCCAACCCCCCCTTCCAACCCCCCCCTTCCAACACTGCAGCTTCCAGCTCCTTCATCTCAATTTGCCCAGCAATGCTCTTGGCACAGGTGGAGGGGGTCCCTGGGCTCGAGCCCCCGTCGGTCACACTGTGCGCGAGCCAAGCCGGCTCATGGCCAGTGGGGCAGGGTGCGCTAGGGCTCTCCATCCAGGCTGGCGTCATCGGAGGCCTCCTCCTCCAAGTCGTGGTTGACAAGCCAGGGGTAACTGTGGCTGTCCACACCCCACCGGGCATGAGCCAGGGGTGGCAACGGGGAGCCACGGCTGTGATGGGGGGGGCCCAAGGCGTCGGGGCTCGGGGCCCAGAGGCAGGAGTACAGGGCCGCAGCCACCAGCAGGACGGAGGCGAGGAGCCCGCCCGCGAAGCCGGTGGCCACGGGGCTGACCCAGCTGAAGAGGCTCCTGTTGTAAGGGGGCTGTGGCCGCCTCTCAATGACCAGCTCAAGGGCATCCCAGGCCTCGAGCGCCAGCCCGGCGCCGCGGGCTCGCCGCGCCTGCCCACGCCGCTGCCTCTCGCCGTATTTCTCATCGTCCTCCAGCAGCAGGGAGGAGGTGAGGTGTGCCACCCTCTCGTGGTACTCGTCCACGTTCCGCTTCAGCTCCAGGTTCTTGTCCTGGTTCAGGTTCTTGCCCAGCTCGTAGGAGACATCGGGGCGCCCGATGCGGCGGAGGGCACGGGCCAGCCGGTCCCAGTACAGCGCGTCACCGTCGGTCCTGAGCCACTGGGTCAGGATGTCCCGACACTGCTCCGTGCTGGCGATGGCACGGCGGGGGCGGGCATGGATGGGGTTCTTCTCCTCGGAGAGGCGGGCCAGCTCCTTGTCCACGTCCTCCTCGGGGCTGGTGATGTCCACGTAGAACTCGTGGCACTCCTCAGGGGACAGGAGCTCCGCGATGCGGCCCATTGTGTGGGGCCCGATGTCGTCGGCTGCAGTATCATCGCATGCGACGCCGGTGACCAGCAAGAGGAGGGCGATTCCTGCAGCTCTGAACATCCTGGGAAGGTGAGGACCAGAGCCCTGTGCCGGGGACGAGCGATACCGGGTGAGACGCTCCAAGTGCCACCGTGTCACAGCGTGTGCGCCGGGAGGGGGGCACCCAAAGGGGTGAATGGACAGCCTGCCTGCAGCGTGGGGCACAACCCCTGAGTTTGCCCCTTTGCCCGGGGCCTACAGATTGATGCTGGTGCCCTGATGGTCTCGCGCTGGCAGGGGGAAGCAGAGAAACCCCCGTGGGTGAGACTTACTGCAGCGCTGTCTGCCCGGGGTGCAGTGCAGCAGCCGGGGGCTGCGGAGGCTCCAGAATGGAACCCCGAGTTCAAGGTCTGACATCACAGGCGGAAAGCCTGACATCACAGGCATGGATGGCCCAGCTTCCCCACGGCCGGGAGAAAGGTGGGGAGGGGGGTGACTAGCAAACCTGGGACCATCTCCCCCCCCAGGCAGGGGCCCTGCTGTCCCACACACACCCCTGCTCACCCCTGCAAGGGTTGGCGTTAGTGCCAACGGGATTTATGGAGCGTCCGCAGCCACCCCTGGGCTCCGGGCAGAGCTTTCGGATGCTGAGAGGCCAGGTGGCGTGAGGGGCCAGCGGTGCAGGGCCCAGGCCCCCTCATTACCAGCCTCGGGCAGCTCAGCTCCAGGTCTGGCTGGCACCATTACCCAGCCAGACTGTCCTGCAGGGCCGAGCTGTGGGGTTGCGCCCCCCACTCCTCCTGCACTGCCCTGCGGTTGGTTTCCTGCCTTGCAAGTGGATCCTGTCACCGCTGAGGCCCTGGCCATGCCCATGCCTCTCCCTACAGAGCAGCAACGGGCTGCCAGGCTGGACTTCACCCCCACCCCAAAGCCGGGACACGGGGGATGCACCACGTCCACCCCTTCCAGTCAGGAGCATCTCCCAGGGGTCCTGCTTCCTGCGTCTGCTATCAGCACTAGGCCGCATGCCCTCCCCTGCATGCGGCCTTTGTCCGGTCTCTGGCAGGCTCTGAGAGCGGCTGTCAGGGGCATTGGGGAGGAGGATCCGTGGCACGGAGCAGCACAGCCCAAGGCCACGAGGGGGCAATGCAGCCCCAAAAATGCCACGGCCCTGAGCAAAGTCATGCCCCGGTGGTAAGAGAGCAGCTCTAGCACCAGCAGCCTGGCCAGGCCACAGCCAGCCCCATGCGGGCACTGGCTCTGCCCCGGGAAGCTGCTGGACCAGCTAGACCCCCCCTCCATTATGGACGATGGCAAGCAAACAGCTTTGGCCTTGGCTTCCCCGAGGGACTTTACTAGCCTGGCTGCCTGGCTGGAAGGTCTCTCCCCCCCAAACCTGCCCTTGCCAAAGGTGTCCTCATAGCTCATCCTCCAAAGCATCCTCCCAGTTGGCATCAGAGCTGTCAGCAGCCCCCTGCGGGAGCCAGGCACCCAGGGCATAGCGGTGGGCACCAGCCAGGCGTCAGGCCCAAGCCCAAAGAGCAAGAGTCCGGAGCAGCAGCCCTGAGACAACCCCCTCAGAGGCACCCACGAGCCCCTGCCCCCAGGGCCTCGTTATGCAAATTCTTGTGGCAAGTGAGCATCTTCTTAACGACACAATCTTGGCAGCCCAGGCCGCTGCCACTCTGGGCTTCCCCTCCGCCGCTCCCAGCACGGCCGTGCCAGCGTCTCTCCCCATACGTCTTGCGATGCTCCTGTGGGGACAGCAGTTCTGCCGCGTGGCAGGTCTTGCAGGATTCGGGGACACCTGCTGCCGGCGTCCT